TAGAACACCAAGATCCCTCCCTCAGCCTTATATTTTTTCAACACCATTTCTTTGTATCTTGATTTAAATAGGTAAATATTTGGGCATTGCTTGAGCTGTGTCCCCAAACCATTCCAAAGTTTGACACCACACACAGTTCTCACCACCTGGACGTTAAGGTTCCCACATCCCCTCAGATTATAGGCCTTGGCATGTGTGAATTACTTGCGTCTGTGTGTCTCTCTCTACAAACAATGAAGCTGTAAGTTTAGTTACTTCAAAAACAGTGATTTCACCTCCTCATTGCTGAGGAATATAATCTAGGCTATTTTATTAATAAAAGAGGCGTGGCAGCGCTGACAGCAAGTTTCTGTGCTCCTGAATGTTTCAGTGTGTGCAGTGCAATCTCTGATCTCTCTCTCTCTCTCTCTCTCTCTCTCTCTGTGTGTGTGTGTGTGTATAAACACATCTTACTTAGCCTCTCTTACACTGTTCAGCCTGAATGAACTGAATTAACTAAAACAAAAACAGAAAGTGAATGTCCGAGGAGCATCAGCGGATGCCAGTGAGCGCTTCTTCACTCATCGCGAGGACACAGATGTGAGGGATTCTGCTGGAATGTGCCGTCAAACTCCACATCAACAGCCCAGAGGCTTCAGACGCCTTCGCTCATGTGTCGACCAACTGTTGGGCTCGTGGAGACGGAAAGTTTCTGAACTCACACGCATCCATAAAACACGGCCAGCGCTGCTGATGCAGGAGCGACAACGCCAGATCTGCTGCTGGACGGAGCTGAGAAGAATTAATAATGCATGTTATCGCATGTTAAATGCGAGTCGTGTGACCGTGAGGCCAGTGATCAGAGAGTTATGAAGCGCCATGAGCTGCTGATGCAGACACGCACTCGTGCCGTGTGAAGAGCGTGTCAGATCCCACACGCGTGTCACTCACTCTCTCTGAGGTAGTGCAGGTGAGACAGCAGGATGTCAGCCGTGTAGCTGCTGGTCAGACGCTGGACGTCGTCTTTGCTCATCTTGCAGAGCTCCTTCCCGTCGATGCTGTGGAAGAGAGACAGGTCCACCTCGGGAAGCCCGTACTCCTTCACGGCCCATTCCAGCCACTGACACACGTGATCCGCCGACCACAGGCTCGGATCTGCAGCACCAACCGCAGCGCAGGTTACGCACTTTCATTTGAATGAATTAGCCATAAACATTGTTTTCTCCCAAATGCATGTCTCCAAGCAACACACTGTTTATATATATCTACTGTATATATGCCAGGTTGTCAAATAAATGAAAAATATGAATTGCTTTTGTTGCTTGCTTTAGATAAAAGCTTCTACTAAATGCATAAATGCAAATATAATTCAACATCGTCTTACTGCAAAGCATGGAAGAATGAAGCACCTTTTTTTGTGAATTCTTTGTAGTGCAGTAATTCCTCTTCCTGTCATTTTAATTCTAATTCCAGTTCAACATCCTGTCTGACTGAACTTTACTCATAAATGCACTACTAGCTGACACAGATCCAAAGCAGAACTTATGAACTAGTGGTCTAGCAGTAGCTTTGAATCTGCGTGTCGGATCATTATAAGCACACGCGTGTCCTGCTGCACATTCTTGCGCTGCGTGTCTATTGTCCCACCGCATGAGCGGGAAAAACAGGATGTTGTTAGTGAGCATCACCGATAAGCAGGAAGTTACACAGAATCTCTGACTCAAGCCATGAAACACAGGCGCAGCTGTCTGTCGTCATCAGTGCTGTGACATAAAAATAACTCAATCACAAAAACACCAGTCTTTAGACAAGCGTGTGGCACCTGCAGGGACGATCACTCTGCGCTCGCTGGTGGTCATGTTGGGCGCTGAGGCGCTCCGTACGAACACTCGAATAAAGACTGATCCTCACTCACCACCGACAGCGCCTCCTACAGGACACACACAGAGAGAGTTTGTGTTTCTGAGCTGCGACTTTAAAGAGCTTGTAGAATTACTGATAAAAAGAACAAAAATGTAGGGAGGGAGTTCATTATATCTGTCAGTTGTTGATTGGATGATGAGATGTGGGTGTGGTCAAAAATAAAGGCGGATCTGAATGTGAGCTTGTAGTTGATTATAGGAAAGGGGCGGGGTTTAAGCAAATCACTAAATGATTGGACAAGACCAGCAGACGTCACCAGAGAGGAGACTGATGCGTCACTGCATTGACATTTCCATTAAACATTAAAAAAGAAAGACGTGCATGAATGGATCCATCACATTAGGATCTATAACATGCATTTAGAAAACATTTTCTGATTTCATTTCATTTGTTATATTGCTGCCGTAGAACTGCATCATTTTTTAAAACTACATGCAAACGCTGCATCGCCACAACCAAATAAAATAATAATAGTTAGCTAGCTAGTTGAAAAGACTGTATCACAACTAGCTTCAGCGACACCTGCACAGTTTTAATTCTCTTTCTTTCATTTTAATTCTCTTTTATCGCAAGACTATTGAAAGTAGCCATTATTTCCATTGAGAACACACGAAGCCTTAAATTAAACACCAAGTACACTGTGGATGAATTTGCCCAAAAAGGGCCAGAGAATTAATTTTAATAAAATTTTTTCTTCTTTCTTTCCGTTTATTTTATTTTTTTTGCATTTTGGGCCGCTGTGCCAAGAGTGTGTTTACATTAAGTAATTTAGTAAATATGACGGCGTTTTAGTGCCATAATATTTTCAGAGTAAAGTCAAAATTACTAGATTAAAGTTGTACTGCGTGAATAAAGTTAATTAATGCGAAAAAAAAGTCTGTGGCGGTTAACTGACTGATTTATGAAAATAATAAAACAATGTTGGCAAAGTTGTTGGCGTTTCTGGGGTAAATGCTATGTTACGACTGTTATTACTATTCACAAGCTGTTTTACTGACACTGATTGATCGATTACACGAGACGTTCGTTTTATTAAGTTGTTCTGATTTTTTTCAACATGTCTTCTGATATTCATTCATGTTTATTTCATGCTAGAAAAGAGGAAAAGATGATTGATTCACATGCCGCATGAACTAAGGCGAATACATTGATCTCACGCCACATTAAAGAGTGGAAAAACACATTTATTGTTTGTATTTCATGATAAAATTGACCGAATTTAAAGGCTACGATTTGTGTTATATTAAAAGTAACAAAACAGTCTTATTGCGATTATTGGGTGGCTGGCGCGCTACAAATAATGAATAATGACTTGAAAACGTTAAATATCATTTATACCGTCAATAAAACAGCTTGTGAATAGTCACAATGTTATTTACCTCAGAAAGGCGGGGGGGGCTGACTTGCTACGCCACTGCTGTGAGATCAAGACCCAACGTTTCATAACTACTGGCCTACAACCGCACCAAACTAACCATCACTAAACCAAACTAAACTCAAACTAACGATCACAAGACACTGATAGACATGCAGCATCTGACTGAAATTCTGCTGCTTGTGATGTAAATCAGTGAGATCTTTATAACAGTAGAGCAGATACTGACATAAAGTGATCTAAATATCAGTGGTGGCTCTATATCTCCAGTAATCTCAGTAAGATGAGATGTAAATGCTCCGAACATATAACGCAGTGATTGAGAGCTGAAGAAATAAAGGCTCCTCAGAAGATGTGAGATGTTCTGGAGGCTTGTGAAGATCATTCCTCCGCTGAGGAACAGTGAAAGTAAAGCTTCTGGAAACAAACGCTCCTCAAAAGATCCTGAGGATCAGATTTGAGACTCTAAAACATGATTGATGGAGAATCAAGTAAAGCTGAGCTGCTTCAGTCCAGTAAGTGTTCATCTGGAGATATTACTGCAGTTATTCTGACCTTTACTTGATCAAATCAGTCAAGATTTGACACGAGAAGCAGCAGCTGAAGCTGGACGTTTGTACAATTAGACTAAAAGAGCTTTGACTGGATAAAACACTCTGAACTCTCAACCAGACGACAGAAGATTAATCATGTTGATTGATCAGGCCTTAGAAATGAATGATCAGATATGAAACAGTAGCTTTATAGGGTTAAACACTTCAGCTGAATTCAAACACAGAAACAGGGAGACTATCACGAGACTCGGAGGACAGAGAAGCACGCGGCCGCTCCTCAGCACAGCTCTGGGATCAGCAGCAGGAAAAGGAAATGATGTCGGAAACCAGATGAATCTGCAGGCCGCTGATAACAGAGCTGTGAAGCCCATTACTGAGCGAACGGGTCAAAGCAACCTTCACCTGAGAGACAAACACACTCCAGCACCTCAGCCTTACTCTCCACAAACTCATCAAGCAGATCCTCATTAATAACACTCCCAGAGCTCACGTGTGTGTCCAGCAGACAGAAGCTTATCAAACACGCCAATCACACACACCATGCCCCGCCCACCACAAGCTCTCAGCCAATCAGAGGGAAGCCCTGCAGTGATTGACAGCCTGCAACACCTCTGCCAAAGAAACCCAGTGATAAACAGCAGAAAAATAGACGTTCTGAAGAATAAAAGAAGACTTGTATGGGTTTACGTGAAGCTCAATGAGCGTTTGGGTAATTCACACATGCAGCCACAGACAGGAAGTGCTCTGCCATCATTTCCTGCATTCCTGACAGCACGGGATAACAGGGGCTGGGAATGGAAAAGAGGAAAAAGCCCATCCGTCTGCATTCGTGAGGGCCTCTAATGGAGCGAGGAAGACGCCCATCGTTAACGCCGCGGGAGCGACACGACTTTAACCTTTAAACACAACGCTGCTCAAACACTCTTTCCTTTCCTACACTCCACCCTCTGTAGAGACGAAGTGTGCGATAAAAGAGTTCGAACCCTCAACCGATGACGAGAAAAAAAAGTGAACTAACATATAATAAAATATAAAAAACTCTTTTTATTTCCAGCTATTTACCAAGGCAGCAGTTCTAATTTTCATTTAGTTTAAGTACTTAAATAACTAAAATAAAAAATAAAATAACACTGGTTAGGGGCGGGACTATCTGCTTGATTGACAGATGGCAGGAGTGTTTAGGAAACCTGTTCGACCTCAGTCATTATTTCTGTGAGAAATGACAGACTTGATAAATGTTCTGAATAAATCCGTATAATATCATAAACAGGAATGGACAGATCAGTGTGATAGAGTTACAGTGATCACAACTGCACGTTTGTCTGGATAAAATCGGATCCAACCTGCAGAACAGAAATCTGACTTTCTAATAAAAGCTGAATGAAACACGAAACGAAGACGAAAGCAGAGACAGAGTCTGATGAGTTTCACATTCACATCACATCTGTGCGAATCATCTCCTCATCATCTCTCCACGGAAGCCATGTTCAAACATCTACTCCGCAGTCAAACACGCGTGTTTACATGCGATTCTGATCTCTTAAAGAGATAGTCCACCATATAACGATCGATCTGTCATCGAGATGTTTCGAACCTGTTTGACTTTCTTCGGAGGAACAGTGGAAATGGAGATGTTCTGAAGAAACAACATTGACTTTCACTGTATGGACAAAAACTCAAAGTATCTTATTTTTTGCAGTAAATAATAACAAATTTAGAGATCCTTACAGACATCTTCATGTCTCTGTATTATAGAGTTTAGAAACAAAAGAAACCAAACTTCACTTCTAAACTGAACTCTATATTTCACTGATAAGGTTTGTAGTGATGACAAAAAATAATTTAATTTAGTTATGTATTTTTAATTTTACTGACTCTTGAATGATAGTGTATCATGGTATGAAACTCTAGCGTGTGAAAAACTATTCCAGCCATCTGAATGAAGCATCACAGATCAGCTTTAACTAGATCTCTATACAGACATCAACTTCATTCAGCAGACGCTCTTATCCGCATGAGAGAAACACAGAAGCCATAAAACATTACCAACCAGAACTGAACTGAAGCAGATGCAAAACAGAGTTAGCGAAGAGAGTAAAATACTCAAGTAAAAGTCAAGACGCACGCAACACTAAACTCTACAATCACAAATGAAGGTAAATTTAATACTTTGAAGACCAAGTACAGAAAATGTAAAGAATAAATCGAAGGGAACACAATATGGTCTCTGAATGTGAATGTCTTGTATTAGCAACACTTTAAAGTTTGAAAACACAACATCCAACAGATCTACATTACTTTTTAATTCATTTGACAAAAAAGCTTGAATATCTCTGCTCCGAACACTAGAATATGGAAATAACTTTTACTGTACATTTTGATCAAATGGCAAAAAAGGATGTTCTTTCTCAGTATTTTTGTCTTGTTTTCCAGTGCAAATGTCTAAAAATCCTTAAATTATAGATATGAAGTCTTGCTCTCTGAGAAATTGATCAAAATGAAGTTAGTTTATGATTAAAATAAGAACAAATATCTGTCAGTGACCTCAGAAAAATCAACTTAATTAAAAGGGAAACAAGTTTTTATTCCTCACTGGCAGATATTTGTTCTTATTTTAATCATAAACTCATTTTGTTCAGTTTCATAAGACTTCATATCTTCATTTCTCATCTGCAGTATATGATTCTTGATTTAAGGATGTTTAGATATTTGTACCGGAACACAAGACAAGAATAAGGAGGAGGAGATTTAAATTTAATGCCATGACTTTATGAATTTAAGACTTTCTGCTCTGATTTAAGATCTTTTAAGGCCTGAATTTGTGGAAGGGTGAATTAAGACTTTTTAGAACCCACAGAAACCCTGTAAAAGTTTTTTAAAGAAATAAGAGGTGACTAACTCGAACGACTAGTCAAAGCAGTTCATGCAACCAGCCACAGATTGACTGAAGAATCTCCACACAAACTCTCAGATGAGCAGAGTTCAGCAGCGCTCGCGGTGAGAAGCGTAAATGACCTGTGTGT